TTCCCCTGAAATTAATTTTCGTGATTACGAATCGTTTTTCCTCTTGATGCAATTGAAATGAAAAGAGACCAGAACAACTTAGGTCTCCATTTATCACCATTGGATCCGTTGTACCTGAGAAAAGAAAGATTAGAAGTAATTTGTGTCGAAAAGAACTATTAAGTATCGTTATCTAGTCCAAATTGGAAGACAGACAGACAACCGAACAGCAGGAAAATGCCTGAGTGTCGGTGTTGGCCTCAATTCTTATATTCAGGTTAAAAACATCGACCTGTCAGTATTTTGCAGTAAATTTTACCCTTAGCGGTTTTGCTGTTCGCCTGCTGGGCCGCGATTAGATTGCACGCAATACAGTACTGTCAGAGACGTTGCCGCATGGGCACGGCGGTGGACACCACGTGCCTGAACCTCGCACCAGCCAGCTGCGATCCACGTTTCTTCCTCTTCGGAAATCTCGTGGAGTTGGGTCGAGGCAGCGGACGGACGAGACTCTTCGTTCTCCTTCCTACACGCGACGTTTCGACGTCACCGCCTGCCATTTCTTCAGTGGATCTAATAATTTTAATGGATATTTGAAAGACGATCGCAACATTTTTAGCCAAAATACAGGGAAAGACATGGAATTTAGAATTCTACTTTCATAATTGACGTTTGTATGCGAGAGATACATTTGGCTTCCCTGACAAGTTTCGATAATCGATGTGCAAGTAAGTATATTGTGCCCCGTCTGGCATCATACACTTTTTTCACCGTCCCAAGATTGCGTGCAAAATAAAAATCTAAGCCTCGAGCAACTGCTGCAGCGAACCAAAGTACTTGTTCTTGTAGACTACGTGAATTTGCTCATTTGAAATACATTGACGCGTTCCTAACGTCGTTAGTACAAATGAAAGGGCTTTCCTGCTTAAATGGCGTTAAAGTTCGAAATTAACGCTTGAATCTTCTGCGGTATCTGATCGTCAGTTGTGCAACTCTTCTTTTCACACCCGTGGAGACAGTAGAATGTTGCTGCCTTGCAACTTCGCCGCCCAAACCCACCGCCTCAGTTTTGCTGTGCGTCACGAAGTCTGAATGTTCCGCGCCTGTCGAAGGCGAACTGAGTGTGCTTCCGCTCAGATCCTAGAGCCAGTGCGCGATATCGTTAACGGGACCTGAGGACGAGCTGTGAGGTCGTGATTTTGCCCACCTCAGCACGAAAACAACGTCAGAACTGATGACAGAACAAGGAATCGACGTGAAGTAGGTAGAGAAACGTGGATTATGATAATTGTGCGTAGCTTTGTACGTCTCGGATGAACGCATGGCCTCCATCTTCAGAGAAGAACCTCATATCTCTTGTAGAAAAATAATTTACTAGTCGTAAAATGATATTATCCTTATGGAAGGTTCAGTGTATCACTTTAAGATTAGCTTATGTGCATGCTTCGCAAGTCAGTGTCTCTAATGTCTCTGGAGTTCGAGTGCCCTGTACCGCCCAGATTACATTGCAGTCTGGCTACCAATCACTCAGTACTCCGTCTCTCAGACGGTGGACAAACGCAGTCACCGACTGTTCTTCAAACTTGCATGTGGAGAGGAAGCGTTTGGAACCTGGAGATGCCTCACAGAATTACTTCTCCGATGCGAGTACCGAGTTTCGGACCCGGACATGTGCGGTTGTACGGCGGGAGTAGAACTTTAGGGGAAGGGGGGGAAGGGGAGGTGAGGGTTCCGAGTTGGCGAGGCCGGCCACCCACGGAGCGAGGAAGGCTGAAGGCTGCAAGACAGGGCCACACGGCCGATGAATGGAACGGTGCTGAGTCTTCTGCTACGGGGCCAGACAAAAAGTTAAAAGAAACAATTCTGTTGGGGCCTCCCTACCTGTGTCAGTGTGGCGTCACCCAGTCACTGGCACGTTCGAAGCAGACGCAGGGTAATGCTCAAGAACAACAGAATCTCACACACTCGTAAATACTATGCAGTCGAAGCTTGTTGATGGATTTTGGTGTTTAGTTCCTCGCAAGGCACGTGTACTTTATGCATGCAGGGGCGGTGGTGATAGTCCTTTAGGGCCGAAACACTTCTCTCTCTCCTTAAAACTGTGACAACGTTGCAGGACTCCCAGAAATCTGTATACACGCTTCTAGTGAATGGAACGAAGACATTTTAATAAACGAAACAATTAACACGCGTGAGCATTGGTACTTCGTGAATTAGCGAATCTGGTTTGCAGGTGTTCGAAATGACCACTGTTAGTTAGCTTCGAGGCGCACAGCTGACAGCGGCGAACAAATGACTGACAAAAGCGGCCACCAAAGTTGCTGCTGGGACGCCTGCGCAGAACCGTCCGATTTCTTGCCCGGAGTTCGGGAAGAGTTGCCGGCTTTGAGTTGTACGTACAGCGCGTCCTTCGAGTAACCCCACAAGATTAAGTCAGTTGGGGTTAAACCTGGCGATCGTGGGGGGTAATCAACAGATTCCCTGCTCCCTATCCACCGGTCTGAACTGTGGGGAAATATATTCCGGTGCCATCTGTTACGTGAAGTAGAAATGAAGGCCCTGGCGGTTGTTTCCGCTGCAGTAGGTTGCTTGTTCGTGCCTTGATCGCTGCAACGGACGGACTCAGTATCGCGGATCTTTGAATCGACGCGCGACCTTAATTTCAATCCTCCAGTTCACCGGGATTATTTCGGGTGACCGACTGCACGTCGTGAGACAGGTTGGCATGGGCCGATCTGAGGAGCCTTCGGCCCGAGCCCGAAGTTTATCTGCCCCACCTAAGCCCGACTTCTTTTTATTCCAGCCCGAACAAAGCCCGATCTATATGCAGTCGGCCGAGACGTTGGTATTATCAGTACATTTTTATTTTGGTGCATAAATGCCAGTAACTTTTTCTATGAATTACTTAAGGACGCTTAAAGAACAGAGGTTACTCTGCCGTTTGAGGAACAATGCTAAGATATCGGATGCCACGTTTTCAGGGTTTTATCTCGAACTATTTCAAGTCTGTGGGGTTTTTCTTTCGGAGTCCGACAGTGCCATGAACACCTTCTTCGAAGTCGTCGTAAGAGTGCAGATTCCAGTCCTGGTTCTGTACTTTTATCACAGAGAATTGTCGTCATTGTTAACAAAATACACGCCCGTTTTGCATGGGTGGCTCAGCTGTCAGGGCTGACTTCTCCGGCAGGACAAAAGGCGCTGGTCCTCTGTGCCGGGCTTGTGTTGTGTCGAGGAAAGAAACTTTTGAATGGCGGCGGGTCGGGTCGGGACCGGGGAAGCCGCGAGGAGCAGCTGCTGCTTACCTGGTGCGCCGCCGCTCGGCTCAACAACGGCCTAAAGCTTCTTCACTTCTTGTTTATTTAACGACGCTTTCCGGAAAGTTCTGTCGACGACGAAAGTAGCAAGACTTTAAAAGTAGATTACATTTGGAGAATACTTGTTACCATTAAATTCAAAATCCAATGTCTCCCCGCGTGCGATCTGAAATATATCGATACAAAATTACAATTTTACCTTGAAGCTTGGTCCGTCGAGGAAAGAAGACAGATTGAGGACGTTCGGGAACTCGGCGCGACGCGACAGGCTGAGTAGTGAGCAGCTCCGGAATTTGTACTTACACTAAACGCCATCAGGGAGATCAAACCCAGGGGAATGAAGTGGGCGAAACACGTAGCACGCATGCTCACAAAATTTTCGGAAGATGTAAGCGTGAATGGAGGTTACTATAAAAATGGTTTGGAACGTTCGAAGTGACTCACTCATGTCATTCGAGGTACGGACCGGTGCACACCGCAGCGAACCGTCGGTCTACTTATCGGTGGAGCGTGCTGAACGAAGCACGTTGATTTGGTGACTGCTTCCGATGTTTTTTGCAGTTTGAGCTTAGAAGGCGGTGACATTAGGTGAAGGAACGCCGTGGATTTCTGTCGAAGAAGACGTGAAAGTCCAGGGTGGCGCTTGTCGAAAAGCACGACGTCGGATGTGTGGGAGTCATCGTTCTCCATGCCGGAGGCCGCCGTGGTTTCATCATCAACACTGATTCTTTGACTTGTTTTAAATATTGCTTGTAAAAGTTGTCACCACCTACTACGAAGGTATACATCAGGCACAGTTTTCTTTACGTGGACTATACTTCCTGACAGCAGAGAAAATTTCAGCTGCCAGAAACTTTTGCAGCCACTGCACAATTGCCACAGTCCGTCACGATTCCAACCCGCGATTCCGCTGTTCTAGCGGCCTGTGTGATCGGCACAGAAGGTGAAATCGAATTGAGGTTATTTATTCCAAATAGCAGACGTATGTGTACTCCACTGGAGCTCGTACTCCTCTGCGCTAAGGCAGATCCTGCTGCGTGTTCTTTGCCAGAAGGCGTTCTCCGTTGCTTTGAAGGAAGGACCCAAATTGCAGCTGTCAGAAAGGAACATGTTTGCACCTATGAGGATAAAGTGGGCCTAAGCAGCCAACCAAGGACTTGCACGTTATTATTTCGATGACGTCGATGGACTGGA